TACATATTATTACTATTATATACTATTATTACTATTATTACATATTATTACATATTACATATATACTAATATTACATATTACTATTATTACATATTATTACATATATTATTATTACATATATTACATACATATTTGGTGAATGAATAAAGGAAGGAAATGGTCTGAGGGGTGAGAGAATGTTATGTTTAGGACTGTGCTGGTATTTTACTATGAAGGTGCCCGTGATGACAGCGTTAGGGATTGGGTGGGGGAGGAAGAGTACGAACTTTAGATGAGCAAAGCCCAGATTTTGGAAAGGCCCTTGGGAAATGTTAAGGTGTTTGCCCTTTGTTTTGAAGGCAATGGGGGTGGCCACAGAAAGCTTTTAAGCAAGCATAGGATGAAAGAATTCAGTGTGTTTACTAGAACATTCACCTCTGGAAAAATAAAGAAGTATGTAAGCTATCATGTGCTTGGTTTACACTATTAAGGATGGCAAAGGTCCTAGAGTAGTAATCAGCCGATCTTTAACTTAAACAAGAGTGGAAAGATGCCAAGAAATGAATTCAAATTCAGCGCAAATGTCACAACCCATCCTCTACTCCCTCCTTGAGCTGGGGACATGTGAGGTGGCTTTTGCCATCTTTCTGAAAGCCAGAGCTAGAATGCAAAGGTCTCCAAGTTTCAAGGATTTTCGTGCTGACAGAAAGAGTCTTCATAAAAGTTTACCTTCAGTATGAAAGATAGTGAGGGTGTGAAATTAAAAAAAAAACAACCAAAAAACAAAAAACATAACATGGCTCAGCTTGGTGATTGCAGTTCAAGCCGCGGTGGCCTGGTCCAACCACGGAAGTGACATTTCTCTGCCCGAGATAAGGCTGTCTTAAAGTATGTCAAACAGTAAATCAGGAGCCCTTTAAAAATTGGAAAAAGCAATTCAAAAGAGTTTCTTGTTTCCTATCTACCAATCTGTCTCCTTTCTTCCATCACTCTTTGTACTTGGAACAGAAAATTGTTAACTTCCTTTCTTACGAATCCCATGGAGGAAGGTGGAAATAATTGACCTTTAGAAACCAGAAGCCAGATCTGCCCCAAAGTTAAGAGAGGGGACAGAAGTGTGAGGCTGGCTGAGGCAGGGTGAGCATGAGACCCAAGCCACTCAACACAAGTTTCCATGGACAGTGGCTACTTCACCAGATGACCCTGAAGCTGCCTTTTCATCGGCTTCAAGATGTTCATTTGTGATGTCTCCGGCTACCCTTCTTCTAGGAAGAAGGTTACCATCTGCCCGCTGAGATCTCTGCTTACACCCATATTTACTAACAATTTAAAAATGTTTAAGAGGACCACAGATAGAGTGCCAAAGACACACGGGTGCTCATCAGCCGTCATTTTACTGTGCTTGTGTCTGATTCCTAGGTGGACTGCCTAGGACTGCATGCCTAGGACTGCCCAGGACTGCCTAGGACTGCATTCTCTCTCTCACCTTCAGGAGCATTCCATGTGCCAGTGGGCATTGTCCTCAGATCCTAAATCTTTCCATGAACATGTGCCTGCCTACCTTTCTCTGCACACAAGCCTCAACATTTCCTTACAAAAGGACAGCCAAGATGAAGGGTGATTTTTAAGAACTGCAAGTTTTGTGCCGAGAAGATTCCTGCCTCTGCCGTTGGTTGGTTTCAGTTGCTCGGAAGCTTTCGGTCGGAAAGGGGGGAAGGAGGACGTGCTCCCTGAGGCCAGGTAAGGTAGCAGCTAGAAACCCAGACATTGTCAGGGATACCGGTACCACCTGGAACCAGGCGGCATTCTGTGCATCTCCTGTCTCAAAAGGCCACCATGGTACCACCTCTCTCATCCATGTGGCTTCCCACTGCAGTGACTGTGCCGTAGGATCGCCACAGCAAGAAGTGCTCTGCACCTTGAATCTATAAGGGAGGACAGTGACCCAGCTTGGGATGGTCTTCGATCATCCTGTGGGGCGCCCCCCCCCCCGAACTTAGATGGCTTGAAGAGATAACGCTTACTGAAAAGTCGTCCCTGGGGAAGAACAGGAGATCTCGAAGGGGATCATTCCGATAGGTCTTTTCAAGTTCTTCAATGACGGTTTCATAATCCAAAGGCTCGAGAAGTCTGGGCTTTTCCTGCTGTGGAAAAGGAAAATAGGGTATTAACCACGGACACACATAATCTTGCTTGTTCTCAGTGCCCGGTTGGATTTCAGTTCTTAGTATGACCAAGGTTTTGACATCATGCAGCCCTTCCAATGGAGTCACAGGGACCCCAAGCATTTAGGGCAAAGCCACATGAGTATCGTTTCCAGATCTGAAATAATATGAGAAGACCCTTCAATACTTGACGTCTTGCTCAGTAACTCAAGCTGTTCGCACGGAGCCCCCAGAGCTCACTGGAGTCAGCCAAACACATCTGCTGAATTATGTAAATTTTCTCTTTGTCTATTTGAAGAAAGGTCCTCCGCCTACTTGCTACAGTATTATGATCATCATCTGTTTTGCTGAATTAGATCCTTCCTTGTGAGGTTTACCTGGCTCTATTTTAAAATGTTGGCTCCCTATTAGCAAGCAAAGTATCATGGACTGTCTTCCTTGTTCCTGAGGCCTGGATCCCGTGTCAGGATTAATTGCTTGGCTCGGAGCCTCTTTGCCACAACAGAGAGAAGCTGGGTGATTCTCTAACAGAACTGAGCAACACAACTATTAAGGGCGCAGTGTGGTGGAAGTGGAGAAGAGTCTGAAAAAACAGGCAGATAATTGCACTACATTAAAATTCCTGAAACCAGGAGGAAAGACACCTCCTTCAAAGAAACTGCCGATTCCACCAAGTGACCAACACCAGTGGGGGAAGGCGTGGCTATTTTGCTACAGGGTTGACATGTTTACTCCAAAACCGTGAGAAAAAAAGGTCCCCAAATAAAGAATAAAACATGATAAAGCAGAAAACCAAAGACACAGTCTTGAGTTCCCTAGCTCTTCAATGAAATATTTATGCAACTTAAATGAAAAAGGATGACCTTTGGGATTATTTAAGGGGCTCTTGGAAGCTGGAGGGGTCACCGTGAAATCTAGATACTAAAGGGAATGTCATAAATGGAGAACAGTTTTTTCCCTCTATCATGTCAATGACATCGACAGTTTCCTGCCAACCTTACCCCTTCCCAGTCTGCAAAGCACAAAGATTTAGCTTTGATTTCTAAGGCCTTCTTTGGAAGATCTCCGCTGGTAAGGCCCTAGAAACTTCCACCAACATTTTAGTCATTGCTAATTGGCTCCTCAAAATAGCAGTGTTTTTTCCAAATAGAAACAAAACCAAAACAAGATGTGACCCAGTGGGCCACCAACAAGGATTTCCGTGTACTTCCTGCATTAAAACAAAATGAAAGAAACCCATTTTACAGATGCTTAAGTAAACTGAGGATGATGCAAGGTGAATATTCTCTCTGGAAGGGTCTTCAAGTAAGATCACCAGATTTAGCAAATAAAAACACAGGACTCCCTGTAATATTTGGAGAAAAGATGGTTCGTCATCTGACACAACCTCTTTAGTGAAAGACCTGTGTGAAATGTTCACTGTTTTGAGACAGAAGATAGAGACGTTATGGTGTGATTTGGGTAATTAAAAAAAACCCCAAAGAACCCCAAAAAGCTCCTTCTAGAATTTCTGCCTTTTGACATGATTATTCTATGTAGACTTATTTTAAGTTCCATCTCCTTAGTTTCCCAGGCCAAGGTTAAGCCCAAGAATCACAAATGGATAGCTCAAGAGGCACATGCTGCCTCCAGATGTTAGATCTGGCCTTATTTTAGTTTATTTTTAGTTGGCTTCGAACGTCTTCAAGTAGCCGCAATTCACTCCAGTTCAGCTAGAGACCTCAGTGCTCCTCACCTACTACCTCTTACTCTGTAATGTCACACGTTGCATCACCAACTGCTCCCTCAGGCCTTCAAGTCTGAGACGCATGGCTGATTTGGGAACCTCTTTTTTTTTCTCCTTCTTTTAATATTGTGTTTATGCATGAAATGTGTAGCAAGTAAACCACAGATTTGGTTGGTTATGTCCCCTTCTGTCACTGGATCTCCAGCTTAAGCGTGCTGACGCCTTTCAGTGCTCATATACCAACAGCCTGTGATGTGGCTACTAATACTTTCTCTCTGCTCCCGTTCCTCACATAAACATGAACAAGACTGTGAGAGTGTGGCTTTGTGCGTGTTGCAATTTATGGGTTTAAAAGCAAATGGCATAAGATGTTTTCGGAGGCTTTTATAATCCTGTTCTCACCATCCTTTTAATGTTATCTCCCTTAGTTGCAAACTTGAGCATTAATAAACAAGCTGGAGACAAGAAGACCATCAAAGAAGATGTCTCCCTAGGGGCCCACACTCCACCTAGAATTAGCCCCACCTAAATGAGTACAATGGGAAAATCAGAGCTCACAAGTCACAGGGTATTAATAAAACCATAGAAAGACGAAATCCCAAACTTCCCTTGAGGTACCCAATAAAAGGCGTAGCCTGTAAACATCTGTTGGCAGGTATATTTTTATTAATGCATTTCAGGCTATGGTATGTCAGCCAATCAATGGATGACATTTATCAAGCCTTTCCTGTTGAAATATTGCACTGAAGTTATTTTGAGGTTATTTGGGGGCTGCAAAACCCAACAGAGCTGCTTCAAATAATGCATTCCCTTTGTTACTTCTGGGGGATATATTAGGAAAGCTCTGTCTTTCCAGGGAATGTGTCAGTCAATGGGCAGCATTCGAGACATCCAGTGTTTCTTAATTTTGTGGATATGAGGTCTAAAAATGAAAATAACAATGATATATTCCGCAGCACCTAGGGCTTGGGATTTGCTGACGCTTGGCATGAATGCTTTACGCATCTGCGATGGTCAGGATCCAGGTCATGGGACCACAGTTTTCTCTGGAGCAAGACAGCTGTCTGTTCAGTGTTATGGTCAAAGAGACAGATGTATTTGAGGATGGTGGAATCAGTTAATTTCTCACTACTGCTCCTTGCAGAGACGTCGAGTGCAAATGAGAACTGAGTAGCATTGATTTATAGCCTTAGAACAGTTGGGTTGTCCCTCCTGAATTTAATGTGCCTCCTTCTTTTGGAAATGCACCAACTGGGCTAAGGCATGTGCCAAGATTGCCCTGAATTGGATTGGATTTTTATAGTGCTTTTTACTCTTACTCTCTCTCAAATGACTAATGAATTTCATTAGCTGTTCTACAATCGCTCCAGGCATGGGAAAAGGCACCCATCAGTATCTGTTATTATGCAACAGGGCTGGTGTTATGCCACAGTGGTAATAGGCCCTGTTCTTCTCCTACGTATTGAGAGATTTGTTTGATCTACTTCCGCAAATCCACAGCTCGCCTCCAATTCAACTTCACTGCAGAAGAACGGGCTCCTGTCGCAAACACAAATGCTCTCTTTTCCTCTTCTTATTCCACCAGTTCTCATGGACTGCCAACACGGTGTCTAAGCCTTGGAGTTGGTAAACCTGCCATCTTAGTAATAGCCAAGGCTGTCAAGAGCCGTTTAATTTGCTTGGAAAGCAGACTGGCCGTGCCTTAGTTAAAGATGCAAATTTCAAGAGCACAGTACACTGTTGCAAGGATCTGAATTAATTTTGTAATTATAATTCAAAATTACAGGGGCGAAAAATGACACCGAAGACCTAAGCATTTGAAGCATGCAACAATGAAAAGTTACGTGACTAAGTTACCAACCTAGCCTTTTCTCCAGAAGTACAATCTAACTAAGAAACAACCTAGACTAGCCAGCCTTGTTTTACAGAGTCCAAAGCAAAAGGTAGAGGGTGATTACAGGTGTTCTATGCTGAGATGAGCAGAGAGGGTAACGTGCACTCTGGAACCAGAATTCCTGGGGTTCTGTCTGGAATTCTGCGTATGGGTATGCAATGTCGGGCATGTTACTTACAATCTCTGTGCTGTGCAGTGAAGGAAACAATCCGTAAAACTACAAGGCAACTGGCAGTATGGGAGAAGATATTTTCATATGACATATCAGATAAAGGGTTAGTCTCCAAAATCTCTAAAGAACTTACCAAACTCAACACCCCAAAACCAAATAATCCAGTGAAGAAATGGGCAAAAGACACGAATAGACATTTTTCCAAAGAAGACAACCAGATGGCTAACAGACATTTGAACAGATGCTCAACATCACTCATCATGAGGGAAATATAAATCAAAACCAGGATGAGTTACCACCTCACACCTGTCAGAATGGCTAAAATTAACAACCCAGGAGACAACGGATGTTGGTGAGGATGTGGAGAAAGGGGAACCCTGTGCACTGCTGGTGGGAATGCAAACTGGTGCAGCCACTCTGGAGAACAGTATGGAGGTACCTCAAAAAACTAAAACTAGAACTCCCCTGTGACCCAGTAATTGCACTACTAGGTATTTATCCAAAGGATACAAAAATGCTGATTCGAAGGGGCACATGCACCCCAAAGTTTATAGCAGCACTGTCGACAATAGCCAAATTATGGAAAGAGTCCAGATGTCCATCAACTGATGAATGGATAAAGAAAATATGGTACACACACACACACACACACACACACACACACACACAGTGGAGTACGACTAGGCGATCAAAAAGAACAAAATCTTGCATTTGCAACAATGTGGGTAGAACTAGAGTGTATTATACTAAGTGAAATGAGTCAGTCAGAGAAACAAATATCATATGATTTCACTCATATGTGGAATTTAAGAAACAAAACAAATGAACACAGGGGAAGGGAAGGAAAAATAAGATAAAAACAAAGGGAGGCAAACCATAAGAGACTCTTAAGTACAGAGCAAACTGAGGGCTACTGGAGGGATGTTGGGTGGGGCGATGGGCTAAATGGGTGATGGGCATTAGGGAGGGCACTTGGGATAAGCACTGGGAGTTATATGTGAGTCATGACTCATTATTACACTATATGTTAACTAACTTGGATTAAAAAAAAAAAGAATCTTTGTACCTTAGTTTATAAACTGCAAAATGGATATCTTGGTAGGAACTACATTGTAGGATTAAATGAGATAATATAGTTATGCTTTTAGAATAGCACCATACCCACAGTACTAATTACATAAGTGTGA